AGAGATTCGGAAGCGCCGAATAAATCCTGGTCACTGCGAGGATCCCGGCATTGTCTTAAGCTCTGCCGCCCGCTGAGCGGAATATTGGTTTTATTACCAACATTTCCTGCGTCATCGCGTTGCTCTTCCTCGCTGAACCCTTTCAGCTCCGCCTTTTAGACTTTAAGTGAGAATTTCAGGTACAATTCGGGGACAAATTCAACTTCATTCGCGTGGTTTCTCATAAAAACAACTCCCGATAATTCGAGGCGAGCGCAAATGATTTGTTCGCGATTCCTTCGATTATTTCCTCGCAATAAAACCTCGAGTGAACTTTATAGCTTTACAACACTCCACGAATCCCGTGAAACTCGATTGGCCTGCAATTTTATGACTTTATTGCCCGAGAAGGAAACACAAGTGGAATTTCGCCAATTTAACCATCTCGAGAATTTGTTGCATTTCTCAAGTTGCAAACTTCTGCGAGCAGAAAAATCTCCGCATCATAATTACACATAGTTGTCAGAAGGATTCTGAAACCACCTCACAACGGGAGTTTCTTGTAGTTCAATGAAAATGCGCCTGAATGGCGAACCAATTGAATTAGCGAATGGCTTCTTCTGACGAGGAGGTTGTTTTGCCAAAATCTGGAAGCCAAAGCTCGTTCGGGCGTTAATCCCACTTCATTCGCTGAAGCAGGTGGCAAAGTGTTTCCCCTCGGAAGCATTGAATGAATGCCTGATATAAATCACTTGTATAAAGCCGCCTTTGGGCAACAATCCGTGCTGTTTAAGCACGCATTCATATTCACGTTTGCTTTAGCTTCTGCGAAGCTTTTAGGAGAATGAAAACCACCGTGCATTTCCATATTTCTATTGCAATTCTGTATTATTGAGCCACTAAAGGAGCTTAAATTGAACTAAAATTTTGATGCATTTTCAATGCATTTAGAGGTGAACATCATCATGATACTAGAAGAAGACGTTAAATTCGTGAATAACTAACTTGAAATAAGATGCACTTCGATGAAGCGTTATATTCAATAAAGGGACGATTTTCCTAGAATTATTCATGGAGAATTTCAATGGCAAAAGGCATAATAGAGAAATTTTCATTGGTCCATGATTAAATCACATGCAAGCAAATGGAATCCTCTCGTGAGAATCTCATGATGTATTCCTTCTTCCACAACTTGCAATTTCCAACTGACAAATTGAAACCTTTTCGCACAAAGTTGGAGACTTTTCCATCTTCAATGTTCTCTGGTCGCACAGTTATCTGAAAAGGGAGAAGTAATGGAAAAAAAACAACGAGGGCAGAAATGGTGGAAGAAAAGCCACTAGAAAAGTTAGAGAAAACTTTTATGTCTTTTGTAGAATTATGATAGGGAAAAATATCTTAGATGTGCTCAAAAGCAGAAAAGTTGCATAAATTCGCCCACCGTTTTTCTATTGAGCGACACATTTTCATTTGTAACGGAGACACACGAAAGCTTCTGTTGGCTTTGCCGGTGTACTTAAAACTTCCATAAAACAATATTATCAGCGTCTGTTGATATCTTCTTCCACCGCCTTTCCACTTCAATGCCATGTGCGGTGTGGGATGTGTGTGCAAATTAAATTGGAATATTTTACCCACCATTTTATTAGTAACACACTCAAATACCCCTGGCATACCGACTATAACGTCCCAGGGATGAAGCGAGATAAGATGTGGGAATGGGGATGGAAGACGATATGGCGAGATTGGAGAATTTGAATCTCTTTCTTCGGCGCAACAACAAAACCTCGCCTCTCAATCCACAAAATACACACACGCACATACTCGACATTTCACATTGAATTAAACTATCAAATTCACAAATTCCACTCATGCTTTTGCCTTTCTTCCACACCCTTCGCATCCCACTTCAATGATCTGCTTTTCGGGGAGTTAAATTCAAGGGATTCGACATTTGAAAACACACTCTCTCCGCATCTCACATTTCATGTACCTTTCTTCTTCTCCTCACGCTTCACATGCAAATAAAACACAATTATGATTTTCTTTGCTCCGCTTATTTGTTCCACTCCTTCTTTTTTTCTGATTCGCTCCAAAACACAGACTAAAAGCACTCAATTCGGCATTTTAATCGTCTGTGAAGAATTTCATTATTTGCCATGCGAAAGAAAATATTCCGAATTGACTGAAGAGTGTGCGTGATTAATTTTGACAGAAAATTCTAATATTCCCAATTGCTATTCGTCGTCTTTGATGTTCTGCCTGTAGAATAGAGATCAATGCCGCTCGTATTCAATTACTAAAATTACAATTTGGCTTTACGCAGAGCTTTCATAGAATTGCGGCGCTATTGACATGCGAAATTGTAAAAGCTTCCCTGAGGAAAAAAGCATAGTTTTATTGGCGCATATTTTGGTTAGTGAGCAAATAAAGCGGAGTAAATAATAATTCTCGTGCTGATTGCTATATTGTTGGTGAGTAAAATCTCAAATTAGACAGATAATGAATATGGGCGAAGGAAGGATGGCGAGTTAAGAGCGTCCTGGGACAGAGACACCCACGCAATGTCTCCATTTGCCGGGCCAATAAAGTCTCTCACCCATTTTTATTGCGCATTCTATCCATCGAGAACCGTAAAATCCCGGGAAGAAATATTTTATCTCTGCCATAGCGTATAAATGTATTAGGCTAGATGCCTTCGCCTAAAAATATTTATACGCATTGTAGTAAAATACAGCGGCTGATAAGGAGGCAAAATCATCAACTGCGAACTGATATGGACCCGGAGAAACGGTGAAAATATGATTCATGGTGTCGTTAGCGTGATTGATAGTCGTGAATGGGGCTTCGAAGGGAGAACAAGGAGAGGAAGGAAGGCTCGTGTCAAAGAACAGGAGTATTTCAATGGATAATGCAGAAAGAAATATTCACAAACGCAGGGCAACGTTCTTCCCACCCTTCCTCATCACAACCCTCAGGGACAATCCTCAGGAGAGGCTTTCCTGAAGATGTCACCATAGAGGAAGTGGCAGTGGAGTAGAGAGGGCACAAGAGGAGTAATATTTATGAAATTTACGTGAGACTTTTAAATAAAATGATTAGATCTTCTTATTAAATTTGCTATGGAATTGAAGCAATAGAAAATTGTGATTCTTATGAAAAATACCAAAAATGGAATATAAAGACTAATACATTATGATTATACTTTAAAAAAAATCATACATAACCTAAAACTTTGACTACGCTACTGAGCAGAGAGGCCCGGAAAAGGTGACAAAATTTCCCTGTGAGAAACATGCATATGAATACATCCATTTTCTTTTCATTTTTCCCTCGCCTGAACACTTATGCCATGCGAGAAATTCTCATAGTCTCTCCCGCATGAGAGCCTGAAAAGTATTTTCTGTACATATTAAATGTAAGGAGACACGTTCTTCCGGCCTTTCATACACCATCTGATGGCGCATAAATTCCCCACCCACTGCAATGCTCTCTTACGTTATATAAGTGAAGTCATAAAAATATGTCGCGTTATTGAGGTTCCATACACACTCAGCTGCACTCATTCCACGTGCAAAGTGTGGGGAAGTGAAATGCTTCTTCGCCACCCCCAAAAACCAGTGCAGGAAGTCAGGCACCCCCAACGTGCTTATTGGTCGATGGTGTGAGTCGTGGTCGATTCTCTACGAATTCTCACCTCTGGGAAAAAGTACGCACAGTTGAGAGCGAAAGAAAAGGTAATAAAGATGTGTCACCGTTATCACTACGCGCCTCAGCATATATAATAGTTTGTCATGAAAAAGCACGACAGCTTCTCTCACTCGTGTGAAGAAAGCATTGCGTGTTTTTACAGCAAATTTATCGCTTCCGAAGAATATAAATCATTTTCACACATTCCCCCCTTTAAACAATCATTTTGCATGTACAAAAGTAAGAGATGTACGATAGCGAATCTGCAGATACACGCTTTTTACCGCCTCCTTTTGCTCGTGCTTAGCAAATCCTCGCTATTTTTCCCCGAATACTCACATCTTTCTGTAGGTCACGAAGAGACAATTCGGTTTCGGATTTGCTGCTAGACAAAGATTGTTCCACATATGTATGAATGCTGTGCAACACACTCTTTGCGTATGTATGTAGCAGAAAGAGAAAGCTCATTTAAAACACTCGCAATCTAACACGAAGAGTTAATCCTACAAATTTGACCTGTTCTACAACGTAAGAGACCGTGATGTGAGCTTTCCAAAACTTTGCTGCTTTTGCAAATCGGTTAAGAACTTTAATAGTTATCGACAAATTTTCCAAAGCTCCCAATTTCGCTGTTCCACAAACAGGAGATTTAATTTTGTCAATCTCTATAAGCATTTTCCATGCATGATTGTATCATTCTATGTGATTTTCCTTAAATATTAAATTAACATTTAAACTGAAACCATGAAAATGGTCATTTCCCGAGTTGCGTCAGTCATTAAAATGGATGAAAATGGACCTCATGATTCATTCAGGAAATAAAACACCCCGATATTCTATACAAAATTCAACCACAAAGAGTCACAGCAATTTGCTATGCTCTCTCCGAATGCGAATTTACGGCAATATTGGTGAAGAAAAGATCCGGTATAAAAGCTTTTACTCCAACTAATTCTCAAATTTCATTCTTCTGCACTTCAATGAGATCTGAAAAATGCGAGTGAGAAATACTATTAATACCATGTGGAAGAAAAATTGCACAATATGTTATCCCATTTTCATTGCCGAAGAATGCAGAATGCAAATCACTTCTTGCGCTCATGGCCAATAATTCAAGCTCTACGTGTTGCTATAATCTGTGCTTTCTTTCCCGATAGTGCCGAGAGTATTGGAATACTTTTGTGTGTTCTCTTTGGCAAATAATCCAGAACCTTGATAAACAGACAGGCTTTCGGGGGAAAAAAAACCTTGAACAATCTCAGCAGCCAACGGGACATTTATTCCCATCTCGTCTGTATATAAGTTCGAGCCAAATGACGCATATCCACACAGTCGGCTGAGGTGGTTTGAGGAGTGACAATGGCGAGGAAGAAGGAAAAAACTTTTCTTCCGCCTCTCGACAGCGGAAAAAGCGTCGAGAGCGGTGGCAAGAGGACGAGAGAGTGCCGTGAAGGCTGTGGCTTCGTGGCTGTCCTCAAATCCCTGGTAAGTCTATTAATTTGAGTAGTGAATTTTCGGCAATTTGCATGCTAAAGTGATAAATTTCCCGGCAGTTGCGTCACAGCGCCTCAACGGGTGCGACATCGGTAACAATTCGCATCGATTTGGAGTATCCGTATCTGCAGATCGCCGACAATGGCTCTGGCATTCCTCAGACTGGAATTGGTGAGATTGGGAAAACAACTTTTCTCGATTTAATTACCGCCGCCGAAGAAGTTTTAATTGAAACAATGACGAGGTCTATGGAAAAATCCGCTGTAATGAAATTCCGCAACAAAGTTTTATTGGCGCCCAAAAACACGGCGCTACTTAAGAAGGGTGGCGAAACCTTTGGCTGGCTCCAGCCATCAACGTCGACGTCCCACGGCGAGAGGCCAAAAGCAATTCCGTGTAGTCCGCACCAAAGAGACTCCGTCGGGACGACCGTCGCATTGACAAATATCCAATTATCACTCAAGGAGCGAATCGAGCAATTGGCCAGGAAAATTGTCAATCTCGTGCGGCATTTCGCCATTGTTCATTATCACATGTCCATCACGCTGAGGAACATCAAAGGCAACAAGCTCCTCTTCGGCACCAAGAAGTGAGTCAACTCTTTGGGAACTTTAAGTACTTTTCACAAGACTTTCCGCTCGCCAACGTTGCGCATTATTTAACTCATTAGCAGCATTTCTGCAAGGCATTTAAGTTGCTTAAGGAAGTTGCAGCCTTTCTCGAATTACCCTAACAAAGCACTTCAGACGTTAGTTTAAAGACGATTTTATACATTTTGTTAGACAAGCAAAAGATTAAAAAGGTGCAATTTTTTCTTGTTGAACCGAAGACTTTATGATAAAATTCATTTCTATTCGTTGTATCAAAGTTATTAAACATAGTTTTCAGTTTTCAACAACAAAATTTTAAATAACTTATGCAGAGAGGGAGATTAAAAGTTTGTAGGTGGATTTGACAGTGAATTCAATTTTCAAATGCACATGCAGAGCTTTTGACTTTCTCTCTTTATATAACGAAGTTATTAATGTCAGACATTGATAAGATTAAGCACAAAACAGGTGGTTTTTCTACATCAATTATAACTATAAATTGAACTCATTATAATTAAATAACAAAATCAGAACTTTGGTTTGGCTGTTTTTAAATTAAAACAAACCAACTAAAATATTTCTTAACCTTTTCTCTAAAAGTTGATAATTATTTTAAGCACATCTTTTATTCTTGAGCATTTTCATAGTAATTTTCTCGCCTTCGTTAATTTGTCTCGTACTCTTTGTCTAATGGCAAAAATTTGTATGAATTTTTTTAGGCTTTTCCACAATTTCATGCACAAGTCCTTCAAGTTTCCTTATTAAATTTTCATGAGACAGTCGTAAGCTTAATTACCAATTGACAATCAATCTACTGCTTAATGTGTTCCTGATTAAATGCAAATTGCAATTCGCTCGTAATTGAATTCCAGTAAATAGCAATTGTGCAGATTAAAATAGTTGTGACTTTCCGCTCTACAGGTCAGGGTTTATTTACAAGTTATAAAACAAAAACAGGGTTTCTCACATCGGATAACTTAATAGGAAACATGATGAGTTCTAGTTCAATGCATTCGGCCAAGACTATCGCTCTGGGTTAAATGCTGCCCATAAATTCAAGTCAAAACATATTGGTCAGCGCCCCATATGTTGTGCCGCTTGAGAATCTCCTCCTTTGGGTTTATCAACAAGAGCTTAGAGTGGGGTTAAACGACCCATCGAATTTTCCCCTTGTTTAGCCCATTAATGGGTGTGCAAAGTGCTATCGATTGGCGCTAAAAGTGTCATCGTGCTAAATCAGAAAATATAACACAGGACGAGATTTACGGGCCGATAAATCATTTTCATGGGACGTGCTATGCAATTTGCAAGACACCCTTAAATGCTCCCTCCTCCATTTGTATGAATTTGCATTGTATTCTCTCTCACTCTGTCGCTTCTGTTTTCCCAGGGCGAAATCAATTACGGAGAAAGTCGCATCAATTTACAATTTGGACAACATGGAATTCGATTCGATCAGCAGGTCGAGCGACAGTATTGCCATTGAGATATTCTGGGGGAGGAAATTCCACCATTCGGCCGGCATTCAGATGGTCTTCATCAATGGCGAAGCGTGCTCCAATGCGCGTCTCCTGAAGACCATCAAGAGAGCGTGGCGCTGCGGTGGGAAGAAGCATCCGGTGTACATTCTCTGCATCACAATCAAGAGTTTGTGCGGCGGAAGTGTCGACAATCTCTCCCATGATTCCGTCATTAAGAACTGCATTGAGGAGTGTGTGGTTAGGTGGAAGAACAGCTGCGATAAAGATGAGGAAGACTTCTTCTTCAACGACGACGACGCCAGCGAGCGATCTGTCTATGCTCATCCGCATCTCTGGGGAGAATTGAAGAAGTTGAATAAGAAGAAGAATTCGGCAGAAAATTGCTCAGTTGTCTTCAAATCACCGGCGCCAGTTCCACAGCGGATTGCAAAGTCCTTGATCAAGGATGTGACTCCTGCTAATCCTCATGCTATGAATCTCACGATGAGTCCTGTGCGGAGTGCAAGACAGTACCTCAGGACGGAGGAATCGTTCCCACTCACACGCCAAAGTAGATTCTGCTTGAGTCCATCTGCGCTGGTACAAATTGAGCAATTGAATAGTCAGAGTGGAAGGTCGAGAAATGATAGCAAAATAGCTGAAACGAAGGAGATAAACTTCGTTGATTTGTCGCCCATCAAACCAATTTACGACAGTCAATTTCATGCACAGCAGAACGGACAGAATGATCCAAGAAGTGATCCTCAGTTAAAAGAGCATCTCGTGAGTGGACTAAGCAATCCTTTGGGCAATCAAGCCAGAATGTCAGAAAATAATCATAGAAGACAACAAAAGTGTGAGTCAAGTTTCTTCGATTGGTCGTCCGACAGAACGATTTCCTGGGACACTTATTGTCGTGAACAGCAGAATGATTCTCAGTTGAGAGAGCAGCTCTTGAGTGGAAATCAGAGCGGAAGGTCGGGAACAACACGCAGGAGAGTTGAAACGATTCGCTCAAGATCGACAAGATTCATGGATTTTTCGCCCATCGGATCGCTTTTCTGCGACAATCGCCATGAACAGCAGAATGATTCTCAGTTGAGAGAGCAGCTGGATATGCTCAAGAATGAAGTGAAGCGACTTCGCAGCTCTCAGCAAGAATTGCAGAAGATCAATCAGGAGTTAACTTCGGGACAAAGGAACAGCCAAAGGGATGAATATGCACCTCAGAGGAAGAGACAGCGTGAAGATAATGGGCAGGTCATCATCTACAACTCTCGAGTGACTCTGTTCACTGGCCAGAATGCAATACCATAAGTTTGACAACGACAATCAATTTCCACATCTCTGAAGATATCAGCTCAATTCTAGGAATTTAGTGTTTTTTCTTACAACACATGTTGAAGAAATGAACTCTCACAATTCATCTGAAATCTTTCATTACACTCAATCGATTAAAAAAGTCATTTGTGAAGTATAAAATATGAATTATACAATTTAAAATGAAGTAAATTACCAATTAAAAATCGTTTAGTTATTAAGATATTATAATTTCAGCCATTAAATTATCTTGGGGTGGTGAAATAATCAAATATCTGGATCGAATTGGTTACTTTTTCCTCTCGGCGATTTGCCAATGAGTTAAATCTCCGAACGCTTCAGCTCTAATCCATCTAATCTCACCAAATGCGTCGCCCACGCATGATGAAATACTTTTCGGCTGCGCGAAAATAAACGCCCGGAAGCGCCGAGTGTGTTTCAATGCCAGTCAGCATAATTAAGTGCCTGTCGCGCTGTGTATCTTGTCTCATTCAGCTCTCCGTTATCGCCCAATTCGTGTGCGATAAGAGCAGTGTGCAATAACTCCGCCGGCGAGAGCGGAGCTCATTAGTCTTGGTCAACATTGTGAAATTGGGCAGATGACATCGCACAAGTGCCCAGAGTTTGTGGTGGACGAACTGCTGGCGATTGCCAGGAAGCTTGGTGTGCAGCGACCGCGGCTCACCTTCGAGAGCGGCTCCAACCGCGGGGATGGATTCATCGGAGTGGTGACGCGTGTGGTGATTGTGGACGAGGAGAGCGGCGCCGAAATCCGCCTCATTTGCAAACACTTGAAGCGCGATCCCAGCGATTGTGAGCCCTTCACCACCATGGACATGTTTCAGCGGGAGATTTTCCTCTATCGCCGCGTGCTGCCGGAGATTGTGAAGCTGCAGCACGAGAAGAACGTTCAGCAAAATGAGGGCTTTTTCACCTTTCCCACGTGTCACTTTGCGGAATTCAACGAGAAGAGCCAGGAAGCGGCGCTCGTCTTCGATGATTTGCGCTTCGAGGGCTTCGAGATGCTGGAGAAGACCAAAATTCCGGATGCTGACCACGTGAAGATGCTGATGAAGCAACTCGGGCGTCTTCATGCGGTGTCTTTCGCCCTGCGAGAGCAGAAACCTGAGATTCTGCAGAGCTTTGAGTGTCTGGAAGATTTGGTGACAAAGCTAATGGCCAAGAAATGCATGCTTTCGCTGCCGAGGAAGAATTGTCGCCTCGCACAGACTCTTCTGCGGCCAGAAGAGACACACATCATGGAGCATTTTCGACGCTGGGAAACGAGCATGTGGCAGGAAGTTGCTGAAGCGATTGCCAGCAAGAATGCCGAGCCGTACGCTGTTATCAATCACGGCGATTGTTGGATCAATAATCTCATGTTCAACGACTCCAAAATTTGCCTGTTGGACTGGCAAACATCGCGCTACGGATCACCAATGCTGGACCTCATCTACTTCTTCTTCACATGCACAGACAAAGCCTTCAGAGATCAGCACTTCAGGGACTGCCTGGATGTCTATTATGACTCCCTGGAACGTCTTCTGGAAAAATTGGGCGGAAACGCGGCAAGACAATTCCCCAAAGCTGTGATGGAGGATCATCTCAAGAGATTTGCGAAGCTGGGAATGGCCATGTCCACATTCACCACGCCACTGGACAGCGGATACGTGCGAGAACACACTGAGGAGCCTGAACACGTCCTTGTAGAGGCGAACAAACATCAATACGAGACGAGAATGCGAGGAAACATCATGGATTTCTTCAGTTCGAACTTTATGCATTAAACCGTTCATCAGTGTCTGTCACGATGGCGACTCTTCTTGTGTGAGGATTTCCTGGAATCACGATCTCGGTCATGCCGGCTACTCGAATGTCTTCTGCTCCTGTCGTCGGAACTCGAGGAATCCCTTCGATGACTTCTGCTCTTGTATTTGGACGATTTGGATAAATGCCGGCGCTCATCCTCCCGCCTGGAGTCGCTCTTGTGCTTCTCATGCTTCTCAGGCTCATCTTGCCTTCTTTTGTACTCTTCATACTTTGTCACGTCTGTAAAATACACACAAATATTACACGAAATATTCTCAGAAGTTTCTTGAGTCAACTTACTGATCACTTTCCGGTTTTGCAGGAATTCCTTCTCAGGCACAGGCTCAATGAGGTACTCGCTGATGGATTCTCTGCCGCCAAGAGCGAGTTTCACGTCTATCCTACCAGTCTCTTCATCCATTCCCTCAATTTGTCCGTACATGTCGACGAACTTCCCGCCCAGAATCTTCACAAATCCACCCTTTTTGATCTTCAACTCCTCCTGAGCGGACGACGTATTCTGCACTTTCGTTGGCTTCACTACCTTATCCGCTCCTAGGCCCAGTCCCTTGGGCCGGCAGACGATCACGTCGTCTATCTTCTCCTTCTTCTTGTGCTCCTCATCCTTCCAACCCATTCCGCGCAGCATCGCCAGGCCGAACTGCTCAATAGGCACATTGTCGTAGTCATCCATCGTGGATTCATGCGCCCCATCCAGAGGCAAATCCTCCGGCTTCAAGGGGACGGAGAAGACCTTCTCCTCAGACGCTTCCTGAGCCTCCCGGAGACCCTCAATGATTTCCCGGGCGGCTCTCTGCTCCAGGGTCTCCTCTTTCACGCTCTCTGTCACTTCTTCTCTCCTCTCAGCTGGCCTCTTCTTCTCCACCAGTCTCTCAATCGGAGTGGCGCCATTCTTCAGCGGAATCACCAGAGGGGCACTCACAATGGGGCTCTTCCGCCTGAAAGTGTCAGCCAAACGATTAGCGGGACAATTTTTGAGGTTATACTGAAAATCATACCCAGTCACTTTGATCTCTTGGCCCTCCAGACACTCTATCAGCTCCACTTTCTGTTCCTCCTTCTTCTGCACATTGCCGAGCTGTGGTTTCTTCACAATTTTACTAAATCCGAAGGAGATTTTCTTCCCGTCCATGTTTTGTTTGTTTACAAAATTCAACTGAACTCCCAACGCCTCTCGTGGCTAATAGTTGGTACTGACAGCAGAGTCAGAAATCTCTTATAATAAGAGACAATGCAAATAAAGACAATTTTCTCTCTATTCTTTTCAATTTTTATTGGAATTGAAATACATTTGCTTCTGAATACAATGTACGAATAATTATGCTTGGGAAGTATAATTCATAGATCCTCAATTGAAATCCATCTCTAAATTTCTCATTAATAACTTATAATCCAATTGTATGATTAAATTTACGTGTGTATTCCAATCCTATCTCGGGGAGAGGCTGGAAAGTCAGCAGAGAATTCACTTCGTTGTCTCTGCATCCATCTTCTCCACTGTTCCTCCTCCGCTCTCTTCCTTCTTCACCATCTTCCCATCGCCTGACGGTACTTGATCACCTATGGAGACACATAAATCCATATCAACACATAAAGACAAATATCGCCATCAACCGCCTAAACTCACCCTCATTTTCAGCCCCTTCGGTGCCGGAACGCCTTCGCTTGCGGTTGAAGCGCCACTGGCGCGGCACGAACTTCGGCTGTGGCAGTTGATCCATGCCTAACACCTTGTGGATCTGCCGAAATGCAATGTAGCGCAGGAATGTCTGCGCCGATGACGTGAGATCCTCGCGCTGCTGCTTGCTCAGGCCACTGAAAGCATCATGAGGCTCCTTCTCGCACGGATCAAAGATACCCGGACCATTGATGAACAGTCCAGACGCTGCAGCCTCCATCACACGTCTCATGCAGTCACCCGGACTCAATGGGATGCCCGCCGATGAGATTACTTTCTCAGTGAGTAGTTCCATAGCCTGCAAGTGACAAAATCCACCCATAAGAATCAAATTTCAACAATGGATCCTTTAAAAATCCTAAAGATTTAAAGACAGAAATATTTCACTGAAAAACATCTACAGAAAGAAATAGACACAATTTTATGCTCCTAACTGACATGATATAAGACTGCCAATAAGAAACAAGATTGCCAGAATGCAAGTTTATCACTTAAGACACTCACCCATTGGCTCAGTGGAGTCCACATTGGAGTGCGCTGGCACAAATCACGGAGGACTCGCATAACCATGACACACGACTGTAATCCTGTAGCTCTGGCCTGAAATTGACGACACACATCGCGAGAGTGCAGAGAAAAGGGAAAAAGGCAGACAATTAGAGAGGATATTCCAGCTAAATTCGACACAGTTTAACTATAAATTGGCACCTCTTTTCTTTCATGGACACACCAAACTAAGATGTCCAGAAAAATATACTTTACATAAATATGTTATTTTCCGATTTTTGTTTTGCGTCTTCTTCTTCTTCTTCATCTCTTTAAAACTCACATTTCTACACATACATACAAACGATTGCCTTTAAGAGGTGCATATTTTTCTCTTTAAACAACTTTCTCAGCATTAATCTTACGTTTGATTTCACATCACCAAACATAAGACTTTGTAAGAAACTCACAATTTATAAAACTAGTGAAAAATACATGTAAATAAATTCTTAATTTCTAAATTTTCACTCATTCATTAATCACCACAAAAGCCAAAACATTCATTCTCTCGTCCTTTCAGAAGCATTCACACAACACACACACTTCACACAAAGCACACATTTCTAATAGTAATATAAAATGACTAATACAAGATAAACTTTCACAGTTTATGCTCTAAAATTATGGTTACAATTTCAATTCAAAAATTGCTCTCATTTCTTTCTTTTATCATTTGTCAAAAGGCTCTCGCTCTCTTCTATATAAAAACTTCTTTTTTTTTTAGAGTATTATAAGTAAAATGTATAAAATTAAATATATGTCAAGTAATATTAAATTAAAAAACTTGTAGTTCAGATAACATTAAACCAACCTGGAACCATTTTGCATGCCTCAATGCGGCAAGTGCCTGTAGACAGGGTTCGCGCGGCAGAAGATCTTCTGTATTCTGAACCGGTTGTTCAGTGGCAGTTGCATTGTTCATATCTAAAGTGGGGATGATAGTAACAGGGTGTTTGACCATTAAACAAATCAAATACTCTCACTGTTTGTTTTGTTCTTTCTTCTTCAGGCTCGGGCATCATTTATCCTCTCTACTTGATAAATTCTCCATTATCTCATTATTAGAAATCACAGAAAAATAAAAAAATTAAAGAAAATCATCTTCACTATTTCAAAATCATTGACTTCACTCCCTTCCTTTTCTACAGTTTCATTTCTTTTTTTTTAATTTCTTCATTTGCCTTTCCAAAGTGCAAGACGACAAGAAGAACTACATTTTGTACTTGAAAAGAAACAAAATCTCTCTATAGGAAAAGAAAACATAACGAAAAAGTAAGACACGTAAAAAGAATGGCAAAACAGAGGGGAAATTCTTGATCCCACATTTTTTTTCTTCTTCTTCACTTTCTCATCACTTGTAAATCACGCTTTTTTCTATTCTTTTTCTTGGAGGATTTACCAACAGAATGGCGCTCTCTCCTGTTGATGAATTTTGATGGATGCATTGCAGTGTGCATATGGTCAAAAATCCTGTACAGCATCCACACTTCGTTTGCTTCAAATCATCTTCAATGTCTCTTCTTTTATGCACACATTTCAGACGAGTCGAGATCGGTTTTCTTTCTTTCTTTCTTTCTTTTTTTTTGGTAAAGGGTCAATTTTCTTTGTCTTTCTTCACGCTTACGCAACACTAGTTTATAATGGATAAATTATATTCTGGATTTTTGGGGGGGGGGGTGAAATATGGACAACGCAGAGTCAATCGGATGTCTCGAAAAACTTGCTAATGACAGCAGAAGACACGCTTTTCTTTCATTTTGGGGGTTAAAGAACATTATTTGCAAAGCACTAAACGCGACTTTTCTTGTCTTCAGACATTCCAATTGTGCTGCTGTTGCATGGAATCTTAACTTAAAACACAGCTTTACAGAAGCTCAAAGAACAAATTATCCCTGATATGTTCATCAATAAATATTGGACATCTTCTTGGGCAATTATTAGACACTTTAAAAAAAAAACACGCTCTTTTCTCGTCCAATAGTTATTTTCCGTGAAGATATTTTGTTCCACAGATCTTTCTTTTTCTCAAACTTGAGCCTATTTTTTCGCCAAAACATCATTTCACAATGAAATATCTTTGTTCCTTGGACAAAAACAGATTTCACAAAGTATATTTTCATAGCACATAAGCATTTAACGATTAAAAGATGGAAAAGATCTTAAGTTGAGAAAAATAGCTAAAAAATAGGTCTCAAATGAATTGTTAATAGTTTGAAATCTCTCTTCTAACCATATTATGATTGTTTTCAGAGGGAAAAATTCACACACACGCATTTGTATGTATGTTGAAATATAGATTTTCTTTTGCAATAATAGTAAGTATTGTAACAAATAAATTATAGATACAAGAATTTATCTTATGGGCTCACGATTTCGAGACACCAATTTCAGTTTGATCTCACATCTCCACAGTGATCGGATGCTCACAATTTCACCGAGATTGTAACAAGAAAAACATATGTAATATCATGGAAAGAGGGAAAATCATGTTAATATTCTTCCAAGATAAACGTGTTGTGATGGGGGAATTGGGCATAAATTGAAACTGGCAAATCGAAATCGAACTTGCAACATCGGGAAAAATAAATATTATAATGCATTATCTTCTCTGAATATTTTTGGTAACGGTGAGAAAGGTGAATAAAAAAAGGGGAAGGGGAAACAATAGATGGAGGAATGCACTTGCAAAACCACAAAAATACCTGGTTCACGGAGGAGTGGCGATGTCAGTGACACTTTCACAGTTATCTGACCGTCACTCACGAGCACGGCACCCTCAACCGGTGCCATTGTCACGGAATATGTGTGCTCCTCGAACACCTTCTTCAGCTGCACCGGCAACTCCGTCGCCACGCGCTTCAGCAGCAGCGTCGTGGGCTTCTCGGCGCACAACACAACCAACTGCACTAGAGTGTCACCCTGAAGTAGAAGACCTACAAGCAGATTTCAGGGGATTTTTAGTTAATCTTCAATTTCAATAAGATATTCACAACTCACCTTTTGCCAGAAGACCAACGCGCATCACACCTTTGAGGACTCTCACAGATCCCTCGGCGTCCTTCTGGAACGAGAACATTTGGTTGTCTCGCCCATCTTCCTTCTTAGCCGCTTCATTTGCATTTTTGGCATCACTAGACGCATTATTAGTGCCGACTGGCTTCTCATTCGCCTTCTGTGCCGCGTCGCCTGGCTTCGCATTCGTCCCCTTGCCAGTGTCCGCGAGAGCGTCCGACACGAACTTGAGCGCTCGCTCTGTGTGCGAAACAATGCGCTGAATTGTCTGCAATTCCTCCTCCTTCGGATAGATCTCTGCGTGTTTCGCCACAACGTGGCGATCGTCAGAGCTCTCTGGCCGGCGCCCCGTCATGATGCCGCCGCCGAAGAAGGGATGCCCCATCGGTGGCCCTCCGCGCGCCATGTGAGGCCCGCGCGGTCCCACACCCGGGAATCCGCGCTGCATCCAATTCATGTAGTCGAACTCCTCCTCGAAGCGACGACGCTCCTCCCAGTACATCCGCTCGTCGTCATCCAAGTCCGCGTCGGCCATGCGCCGGCGGTTCCAGTACTCCTCCTGCATGGCCGCACGCTGCGCCTTCGCCTCGGCGATCTTCTGCCGACGCGGAGACGGCTTGATGTCCACCACCAGATCCGGCTGCACCTTCTTCTTGTACTGCAGCCGATGGCGGCGTCCCTTCATGTGCATCTCCTTGGCATTGGGATCATTGAACTTACACTCGCACAACTTGCAATTGAAACTCAAGATCTTTCCCTCGTCATCCTTAATCTCATCAATATACTCCACTCCAACGGGCTTCACATCGTCCACGGGCAGGTGAATGGCCGTCTCCTCCTCTTGAGCCTCTCCGACGACAGCACTCACGCCCGCAACACCGGCACTGCCCTCCTCCTTTTCACCAGCTCCAGCTGGCACGAAGTTCACCTTCGTCGGCTTCTTGGTCAATGGATCAGTGGAAGGAATGGGCTTTCCCAGCTTCTGGTGCAGCTTCACCACCTTCTGGTGCTTTGAGCCACGAACATGGGCCGCATAAGCATCGAATCCTGTGCACGTGACATCACACAGTTCACAGTGAAGACTATTTCCGCGATTCTGCGACACATTCGCCGCCGTGGCAGACAATTTGAGACTCGCCTCGCGCTTCTTGTGCTTCTGCCCATCGAGATGCTCACGATAGGTCTGTGGTCCGGCACAGCTAATCTTGCACACCTCACAATAGTGCAACTGCTGCGGCTTTGGCGGTTGCTTGAAACGCGGCTTGTTGCCTCCTGGCATATTTCCCTGGTTCTTCTTGTACTGCCAAGTGTTTCCCTGTCTGAAAGTGAATCAGACCATTAATCTCAAGCGTATGAAGAGGAAAATCAATTTCTTACCCTGAATTTGCTGTCTTGTTATTCTTCTGCGCCACATACATTGTCGCCGCCGCGCTGTACAGTGCAGCATCGATGTTGGAGTATGTTGTGACATTTGTAGTGGCGACTGGCTCTGTAAGGCATACAAAAACATTGTGAGAAAAGCTCTCATTCGAACCTAAATTTAGAACATTGAATGCAAATTTATTGATTATTACTAAATAGAATCCATTTCCTAGACTGTGTCTCTATCAAATCACTCGAAGGCCTCACAATTCACCCTTTAGAGTCAATTGTATGACACAGAAAGCTTAATACTTTACGTATATCTCTCGTGTTTCAATACTTTTTTCGTATTAAATCAGTTATACAGTAAAAGTATGTAGAATTATAGGATAAATATACATAATTGCAGATTGCAGAGCTCATTTTCTACGCCCTACGAATTAAAACAACCGCACAAGCTCTTTGTCACGGCAAAAGTTTTACAAATTCATCATGAAAAGGTTTTTCAGTGTGAATATAACCACTAAAAGCAATAATGAAAATAACTAATAGAGAGGAATTGGTAAGTGTTTACTGATTGAGTATAAAACCATTTGAAAGCATCACTCTTCTATCCACAGCTTTGTTTACAGTCTATAGATTCATATCACGACATCATTTCCATGATTTCAAACGAACTCATTCGACTCACAATAAACTTATCATTATTGCACGATCAGCAAAAAGGCGGCAAAAATGGTCATTTTCTGGAAAATCATCCAATTCCATAAAATATTGCAATGGCTTTGTTTATACATTGACGCGCGAAGCACATAAACCAATTAGTGTTGCGGCCAAAGTCTCTCTTTCAATTAACCTCAGACCATTCTGTGCCTCTATTCTATAGGAATATGACGGAAAAGTATTTATAACTTTTTGTGAGAACTGTTCTCTCAACGAAATATCTTACAAGCCACTTTCAAGGCTGCGAGAGATTTATAAACCTGATGACACTTGGGAAATTAGCGAAATTAGAAAGAAGAGAACTTTCCAAACTATCGATTTGCCTCGCTAAATTGCCAAAATTTCCGCTTCTTCAGCACCAAAAATGGGCTTCTCGTCCAAAGCACTTCAGAATAACTGTGAATAGCTCAATATTTACGCTTTGTAGTTGCTGTTGTTGTTGTTGCAGCTGGAGAATAGGTCGTCTGCGAGACGTACTGCGTCACTTTAGCTGGCTGAATGGTTGTTCTGGCCGGTTGTGCGTAGGTTGCCGTCTGATATCCAGCGACCTGAAGGGAAAAAGCGGGGAAATTAGTGGGCAATGCCTGAAAAAGAGACCTTTCGTCGTCACCTTTGCCGTGGTCGATGAGTCATAGGTCTGGCCTGAATAAGCTGCAGTGGCTCCAGCTTGTTGATAGTATGTCTTGGACGTGTCATAGGATTGAGCAGGGCGCCCATAGCCGTAATCATAGGTCGGAGCCGGCGCTCCAGTGCCTGAAACAAAGACCCCACGTCAATTCTACCTCATCAATTTCACATAAAACCCCACTAAAAATAGCACCAAATCGAGGGATTTCTCTCATTAAGTATTCATCCCATGCCTATACTGACGATTATTCAAGAAAACATGAGATAATCATACTAATTGCTTTCAAATTTCATGTCATCCGCCCTCAAACACGCTCAGAGGCTAGTCAATAATTCAATCACATGCAATTTGGCAGGAGAACTCAAGTTGGTTCTGACAAATTGTCTGATGCTGCGCACGACAGGATCCAATAGGAACCCACAGAAGCCCTAATTCTCTGTCAGCCAGGCCCTGGCGCCCGTGCAATCCCACTCCATACTCACTTGCGTAGCTTCCCTGTGTGGCTGTGGCCTGGTAATCATAGCCCGCTGGCCGCTGCGCCCCATAAGTGGCGGCCGTCGCCGGAACGTAGCCCGCCTGGGTGGCTGGATACGCCGCCCCCGTGGCCGCGGTGCTGAAACGGCCAAACAAACAACACTTTACCACAAGATCAGAGGCAAGGTCACCGGAAGATTGCCTCTGCGGAAAATTTTTCCCATCAGAGACGAATGATATTGATCGACGCCATTATGCGGAAGCCTCCAGCCGGCCTTTTTTCATGGCCACTTTTCACTGTTTTCCACACACCGCACGCCACACCAATATGGCCAAAATGTGCCCTAACCCTTCAGGCACACTTTTCACGTATTTTCACTCACCCATATTGCGTTCCGCCGTGTGTAAATCCGAAATAATTATTAGTAGCCATTTTTCTTCCTCACCTCACGATTTTCACACACGACACTGAAACTCTGCCGGCGAGTGGCGGTATTAGCTCTTTAGCCATCGGGCAACACACGAGAATCGATGAGTGCGAACAAAGGACAAGACCGACAGACAAGAAATAAGACATGTCTGATGAGAAGTTTTCTGACAAAAAGATTTTGCTTTTTCACTCATATCGACGCCAGATATGAACGTGAAATCCCATATACGAACAAAATACCTTCAGCTTCACAAAATTGCTGTATTGAAACTCAAGATCTTTATGTGGAAATTTATTAGAATGTTGGACTTGTCGTATCCATGTCCGGGATTTTCTCTGCAGACATATTTTACACGGGGAAAGTCGGAGAGCTCAATCGGGCAATTTCATCGAATCTTCTAGATTGTTTTTGACATCCCAGTATTTTCATAGAAAACGTGACTCCCTAAATTTTGGCAAAAATGTTTGGAGGACAGGGCCCTATAATTGTTCTGAGTAAGTAGAGAGACTTTTCCCACCATTTGGCACCCCTTCTGATAATCTCACGTGTCGCAGGTCAAAACACGAAGCGAGATTCGGGCAGAAAAGTTCAGCTGGAGAACATCGCGGCCGGCAAGGTATGGCGGCTTTGGGGGTTGGAAAGTGTGCTTGAGAAACTCACGCGCTTCTTTGCAGGCAATCGCTGATGTTGTACGCACGTGCCTTGGCCCGCAGGCCATGCTGAAGATGCTGATGGACCCCATGGGCGGCATCGTGATGACTAATGACGGCAACGCCATTCTCAGGGAAATCACTGTGCAGCATCCGGCGGCCAAGAGCATGATCGAGATCGCCCGCACGCAGGACGAGGAAGTGGGCGACGGCACGACGTCCGTGATCGTGCTGGCCGGCGAGATGCTGGCCGTGGCGGAGCCATTCCTCTCGCAGCAAATCCATCCCACTGTCATCATTCGCGCCTATCGCGAGGCTCTGGAGGACATCCAGAAGATCGCCGAGAACGAGCTGAGCATCCCACTGGACCGCTCAGACAAGAAGCGGCTGGCGCAGGTGGTGGAGTCCTGCATAGGGACGAAGTTCATCGGCCGGTGGTCGGAATTGGCCGTGAAGATCGCCCTGGAGGCCGTCGAGACGGTGATGGTGACGGAGAACGGACGCACGGAGGTGGATATCAAGCGCTATGCGAAGGTGGAGAAGATTCCCGGTGGCTCCATTGACGAGTCGTGCGTGTTGCGCGGCGTGATGCTGAACAAAGACGTGACACATCCCAAGATGAAGCGCTACATCGAGAATCCGAAGATCGTGCTGCTCGACTGCCCGCTGGAGTACAAGAAGGGCGAGAGCCAGACGAACGTGGAGATCGTGGCGGAGACAGACTTCACGCGCATGCTGCAGATCGAGGAGGAGCACGTGGCGAGGATCTGCAAGGACATCATCGACGTGAAGCCCGATCTGGTGTTCACGGAGAAGGGTGTGTCGGACCTGGCGCAGCACTTCCTCGGCAATGCCGGCATCACGGTGATTCGCCGGGTGCGGAAGACGGACAATCTGAGGATCGCGCGCGCCTGCGGCGCCACAATCGTCAATCGCACGGAGGAGTTGCAGGAGAAGGACGTGGGCACGGGTTGTGGGCTGTTCGAGGTGAAGAAGATCGGCGATGAGTACTTCACCTTCATCACCAACTGCAAGGAGCCGAAGGCGTGCACAATCCTGCTGCGCGGCGCCTCCAAAGACATCCTCAGCGAGACGGAGCGCAATCTGCAGGACGCTCTGCACGTGGCAAAGAACCTCGTGCTGGAGCCGCGCCTCGTGCCCGGCGGCGGGGCCATCGAGATGGCCATCTCGCAGGCGCTGACGCGGAAGCAAGTGCAGGGTCCGTATCGCGCCGTGGCGAATGCTTTGGAGATCATTCCCAAGACTCTGGCGCAGAACTGCGGCGCCAACATCATTCGCACGCTCACGGCGCTGCGCGCCAAGCACGCCTCGCACTCGGGCGACAGCATCTGTCCGTGGGGCATCGACGGCGAGTCCGGCGAGCTGGTGGACATGAACGAGCGCGGCATCTGGGAGCCCATTTCCGTGAAGCTGCAGGTGTACAAGACGGCCGTGGAGACGGCGATCCTGCTGTTGCGCATCGACGATATTGTGTCTGGGTCGAAGAAGAAGGCCAGAGACAATGAGCCGCCAACGCCGTCTCAAATGGCCGCCGGCGCCCAGGACTAGCTGCCTGATCTCATCACACTCTTCTTTTCATTCAATCTTCACCGTAACATCGTTCTAATACACCTATTTTTGTATTAATACCCCAAAATGCTTGTGCATCCAGTGACTTCTTCAATAAAACTACTTCAAGCTGGAACATTATAATGGAGATCTTGTGATCTTGAGGAAAGTTTTGCCTACATTTCCACTCTGAAAAAAATTAATCGAATTCTGGCGGTTTTTGAATCAACTCTTCATCAACAGCAGCGCTTTTGCGACGAGAAGCAAGAACCAAGTGTTATTTTTCTGAGAAAAATAGTGATTTTTTTGGAGTTCGATTTTTTCCAATTTCCCGGTACAATAATCAATATCTATCTCTAAATTCAGTGTCATTTCAGAGATTAAGAGCTTTTGTACTGATTTCAATAGAATTTAGTGAAGATCCTTTGAATATAAAGTGATTCAGAACAAGTTCGTGCGAAGCGTGTCAAAAATGGCTGAATTTCAGTCTCTGGATGGAGATCAGTTTCCAGATGGAGAAAATTCTAGTGAGAAGGCGTCAAAGCTTTTTGCGGAGGAGAATTCTGGAGAACCCACGAAAAGTCTCAAAGGCTCTTTGACCCCATTGAAAGGTAAATTTTCACTTGTTTTTACTATTACAGTTCTTTGTTAAGCTTTTTTATGCATGTTTCTAAATTTCGCAGCTTCTGTGGTTCACCACAATGTTCAAGAGAGGCCAAAAGTCTTGACAAAGACTGCGCAATCGGGAAGACTTCTGCCGCGTATGTCTGAACAGAATCTTCTGGATATTCTGAGAATGATTCCACCGGACGCATTTCTCGAGATCATGAGCAACAAAGAGCGGTTCAAGGCGACTGTTTTCGATGAGGGGAAATCTATAGAGATGGTCGCTCTTCTCATTTTGGTTCTGGGAAAGCTGCACAAAGTGGTGTTGAAGCACAATCTGCAGAGCCTAATGGATCAGATCTTCGCATCGAATACTGTCCTGCGAGATGACATACTGGATTACGTGAAATATGTGGTTTATTTGGAGCAGAAGGGACAACTCCATACGATTCCCGAAGCGGACAGAGTTTGGGAGAGTCTGGAGACATTTTGTAGCTTCGGAAAGAGAATTGAGAAGCGCGCTAACATCTGGGCAGAAATAACAGATGCGCTGTGTGGAATTCTGCAGGGAAAAAAGGAGGAATCGCTTGTGAAGAAGCACTCTGTCTTCCTGCAGCTGAAAAACGCCATGGAAGGGGGATATTTCTATCCGGGCAGCATTTACGCATGCGTTGCGGATCTCAAGGAAGAACCAATGCCAAAATTGCCGGAATTTCAGGGTGGGAAATGCAGTGATGTCAAAGAATATCTGAACTTCCAAATGGCCCATACAAAGACACACTTCCTCACCAAACTGTACAACGGATTGCAGGAATTCCAGAAGCTAGACGAGGAGGAAAAGTCTCGAGTGGTGCTGAAGAATATCGGTGGAACAAATATCTTTCCTGCTGTGCGAATTTACAGAAAATTTCCATTTTCTGTGCCAGTCAATGATAAGTATCTACTTGTCGATTTGGCGCCCCAAAGTCGCGTCAATCGTCAACTGCCGAAAGATGTTCAGAAGGAAATCACTGACGAGGAGTTCATGCTCGAGACCGAATCAGTTTTGTTCCTCTCCACATCATCAGCATTCGAGGACATGATCGTCGCCCGACTGACGTATTTGCCGATGGAAGTTCAAGCGCAAGGTTACCTCTACGTGAACATTGTTGAGCTGGAGAATATCAAGAACAACATCTTGAATAGGGATTTATTTCTCGTCACAATTCCCATGATTTTCTCGTCGAAAACTTTCCTACTCCGCGCTCTGAAGCAGATCCCAACGTCTCTGTTCCCGATCAAGGAGCACTTGATTGACTGCCAGAAAGCTGAGACTCTTCCTGACTACGAAAACCTCACAGAGTATGATTGTTCCTTCGAGAAGATCAACGTTCGTGCAGAAGTGCTCAAAGATGAGCACTGGAGATCTTTGGGAATGCACGAGCAGCAGTTTGAGGCGTTCCAAACGGCTCTCACACGAAATGTGACGGCTATCGAGGGTCCTCCGGGCACTGGAAAGGCATTTGTCGCCCTCAGCATCATTCAGCGTTTGCTAGCAAACACATCCTCGAGGATTCTCATCGTCAGCAGTGGAAATTACTCGCTGGACAAACTTCTACTGCTTTGCTCAATGTTCACGCATCAGATTGTAAGAATTGGATGGCAATTTGACGATCCGGAAGTGGAGAAGTTTGCCTTGAAAAAAGATTTCAACGATTATCGATATAATTCGATCAAGAGTATGGCGTTCTGTCAATGCAAACTTGCTGTGGACAAATTTAACAACGCTATAAGTCAGTCAAAGGACAAGACAACAAACTTTGAGCAGGAACTTAAGGAAATGTGCGAGGCAAATCACAGACTAGACGAACTTCAGTTATTCCGGATGTACTATGGATCCCGCAAAGCTAGAATTATCGGGATTACGATGACAGGAGCGGCGAAATACCGTAAACTTCTGGAGCTCCTTCGTCCGCCAATCGGTAATTGCGAGATTATGAAGAAAGCAAGAGGTTTTTTTCAGAATATTTATTGCCTTTGCAGTGATAATCAACAATGCTTTCCATATGAGTGACTCTCATATCATCACTGCTCTCACTGAGCACACGCAGCAAGTGATCTTCTTCGGAGACTATGGCCTGCAGAAAAGGTACAAGTGTACCATTGGTCTGGGAGAAGACTGCCTCAAGGCGAAACTTTGCGGGAGATTGATTGATAATGACCTGAACAACGTCCGCCTCAGAGTTCAACATCGAATGCATCCTGACGTGAGTCTTTGACACAATCAATGCCATGAATATCTATTTAGGATTCGTTTTCTTGCAGATTTCGAATCTTTTGCGCGAAACTCTCTATCCTGATATCGTCGATGGGGAGAAAGTGAGATGTTACGGATCTATTCGTGGAATTCCCAAGCATCTCTTCTGGGTTTCCCTTGACAATCTCGATGCTGTGCGTGAGGAAACATTCGATATTCTACTGAAAAACTATCCTGATGTGAATGTACACATGCTTTCCAAACAAAACCTCCACACGATGTTCTTCTGTGTCGGACTGGCGAATTTCCTCACCCAGCAAGGATATAATTACCATGAGATTGTGATCCTCACGATCGTGGGCGATGAACAGATAGCCACACTTTCTGCTATGCAGCATTTTCCGGCGCTGAAGAATGTGCCTGTGAGCACGGTCGATAGCTTCGAAGGCAAGGAATGCCGCATTGCTATTGTCATGCTGTTGCAGTGCAGTGAAAATGCAGTTGATTTGCTGCTGACAGAGAAACGCATCTCGAGTTTCTTGACTCGCTCCAGAGAAGGTAAAGTTCCTTGATATTTGGTCTGCAATATCTTTTTTATTTGTAAATTCATTCCTTTCAGGACTGTTTATTGTCGGACAATTAGATTTTTTTGCTGAAAAGAGTGAATTGTGCAAGGATATCAGAGAAAAACTGCAGACCAAGGACGCAATTGGGCCCGGATTGCCCATAAAATGTGAGAAGCATAGAAGCGAAATGATCGCCACTGGATTGGAGGACTTCTGCAATTTCACACACGATGGATGTCCTGCCGCTGAAGGATTCCGCAAGGCAGAAAAGCATCCCTGCCTCGATATTTGAATAACCCAAAGACCTCAAAGATGAATTTTTGAAATTGAATTTCTTCCTCCTGACAACAACGCACTCTGTGCAGAATAGTTGAAGTACTGATAGATGTCACGTCACCGATCGTGTACTCGAGTTATATTGAATATCTAAACCAAAATATCCGCTTTTCTAAGGAATTACAAAGGAATTAGCCATATTTTAGTGTTTCTATTAATACTAAATTGATCTTTAGTGCTCTTTACAACAGAATCAAACATTAGATTGAATTACTAGTGCTGAATTTTAAGCAGACAGTGATTTCATACTTTCGTTGCAATTGTACAGTGCATTTTCCTTATCTTCTCTTTGGAAAAAAGTAACTCCTTTACGTAATGGAAAAATATTTCCAAAAGTCTGACAAGAAAGAGACTAGAGAAGGAACAGATGCCATGCGCGGACTGAATTTCAATTCGTTATATAGTATGATAAATTTGCTAAACCCTTGGATAAACAAGTGCAACTTAAAGAGATTTATTTCCTTACAATTTAGATTCTTGGAGATCGAGCACACCTAATGACAGTGGTTCTGGGCCCTCATGGAGAAGTACAGGAAGAATAGCAGAAGAGATCCCGAGCCAAAAGTCATGGAGAAATACAAATCAGCAAGGACATAATGAGAGATCAACCGAAAGATTTACGCCGAAACTAAACCAGAAGGAATTAATTCTTATTCTGAAAATGCACCCTGTTGATGCTTTCTTGGAAATCATGGACAATATTAGAAGTTTCACCAGAATTACTCAGGATCAAACCAAGTCTCACGAAACTGTTGTTTTGTTGATCGCGATACTTGGTAAAATTCATGAAGTGCCAATGATAGAGCATTTGCAGAGCCTCGTCAAGCAGATCTTTGGCTCTGATGTTACATTTCGAAATGATATTCTGGCATACGTGAGATTCGCAGTGGATTTAGAGGAAGAACAGCGTCCAAATCTTATGACCTTTGCTGATCAAGTTTGGACAAATTTAGAGACTTTTTGCGACTTTGGCAAAAGAATTGACACAAGTGCAAATGTCTGGGCTTATTTTGCTCGAGCCATTTGCCGAATTCTCGAGGGAAAGAAAGAAAAGTCTCTTCAAAAGCAGTACGAGATCTTTTCTAAAATCAGAGATGAAATAGCGTATAACTGGCGATATGAAGACACGACCTCAGCAACCTTGCAGATGATTAAACAAGAACCATTGCTGCGTTGCACAAAAGACATTAGAAAGGGAAAGTTTGCGAATCTACAAACGTACATAAATTTTCAAATGTATTATTTGAAATTTTATTTCCTTTCTCCTCTGTTTGATGGATTGAAAGAATTTCAAGAACTAAAAGATGAAGAAAAGAATGAGCCAGTAGTGATGCTTGATGAGTCAAATATCTTTCCGTGTGTGAAACTTTATAAAACTCATTCACCATTCTTGACACCAAAAGGAAAATTCTTCATTCTCGATTTGGTGCCTAAACTACGAGTTAACGATAAATTGTCAGATGATGTAATAGAAGAAATTGATGAGTCGGAAATAATAATACAAGGAGGAACTTTCGTATTTCTCTCAACATCGTCGAAATTCGAGGTCGAAATTTGAAGAAAAAAAAAATCACTTTACGAAATATTTCTAATAAATTCTGAAATTCTAGGATCTTATCGTGATGCGCGTGCCTTTCACAAACAGTGAAGCTAGAGACGAAGGATTCCTGTTTGTGGATATCGTTCGAATGGAGAATATCAAGGAAAACATCTTTAACAAGGATCTCTTTCTCGTAACATTTCCTCAAGTATTTGAATCAAAAATTCATACAATTAATATGTTAGCAATGATTTCAACGGCTACTTTCCCAATGAAAGAATACTTGATTGATTGCGAAGAATCTGCCGTTCTTCCGGACTTTGAGAATCTGCAGGAGTTCGATTGCACTCTTGAGAAGATCAATCTTCGCGCCGAGAACTACAAAGACGAAGAGCTAAAGGCTCTGGGAATGAACGAAAGGCAGTTTGAGGCCTTTCGAATGGCATTCACGAGGAATCTGACCGTGATTCAAGGACCTCCGGGAACTGGAAAGACTGCAGTCGCCCTGAACATCGTGAAGCGTCTCTTGGCCAACACTTCCTGCAAGATCCTTCTTGTCAGCCATAAACAATATTGCATTGATCAATTTGTCATAAGATGTTCCGCTCTGACAGATAAAATCAAGAGAATCGGATGGTATTTTGATATTCCGGAAGTCGACAAGTTTGCAATTCATGAAAAAGTTGTGAATCCTCGATTTCAGCGCCTATGCAAAAGGAATTATGCTCAATATATGGCAGCAAGAGATAAACTTGTGGAAACGATAAGAAGATTAGATAACGGTGGAGAAGATTTGAGTTCTCTACAAGATGACATAGATAATTTGCAAGACGAAAATTCAAAAGCTGACCAAACGAAATCACTCGAAATCTTCTATGGTTGTCGAGATGATAGGATAATTGGAATGACTTCGAGTGGAGTGGCGAAATATCACGAATTGCTGGAAATTATCCGTCCAACAGTTGGTAATAGAATGAATTGAATCATTATTTGAAACGAAACTGATTGTCCGTATTTTTACAGTTATTATCGAGGAAGCTGCTGTGATGCCGGAATCCCAATTTGTAACCACGCTGACTAAATACACTCAGCAACTGATCCTTATGGGGGATGAAATTCAAGCGCCTTATATTCAAGAAGTACGTTTTGATATTCCAACCGCACACAAAAATCTCTTTGAAAGACTAATCGAGAAAAATATTAACAACGTCCGGCTCAACGTTCAGCATCGAATGCATCCTGACGTGAGTAACACGATCAATGTTAAAAATATTATCTTTAAAGTATCTTTGTCTTGCAGATTTCGGATCTTCTGCGCGAAACTCTTTATCCTGATCTCGTCGATGGCGAGAACGTGAAGCTTTACGAGGCAATTCGAGGAATTCCCAGGAATCTTTTCTGCGTTTCCCACGAGAATCTTGATGCTGTGCCTCAGGAAACATTCGATTTTCTGCGTGAAAAGTGTTCAGTAGACAATGATTACACGTCGTCTAATGACATTTTCTACGAGATTCTCTTCTGTATCACATTGGCTAATTTCCTGTGTCAGCAAGGATACAAATCTCATGAGATTGCGATCCTTGGAACAAATGAAAGCGGTATTCTTGCAATGAAATCGGCAAGAAAAAATTTTCCATCTTTGAAAGATGCTCACTTTCAGACAAAACATTTATCTCATGGAACAGAATATCGAATTGTGATTCTGTATCTTGTGAAAGCAAAGACAGAAGACTGTTTGAGTTTAAATATACCAACTTACGTTCTATCAATGCTGCTTTCACGTGCGAAAGAAGGTGAGAAAAGGATAATTTTGACTATTTAACATTGAGTTTGTGATGCCAAACCTGTGATTTCACTTTCAGCTCTTTACATCGTTGGCGACATTGAAGCTTACGCCAAAGTGAACGAAAAGTGGCGAATCATCAAGAACAGACTGGAAGCGAAGGAAGCGATTGGGTCTGGATTGCCGATCAAATGCGAGAAGCACGGAAGTGAGATGATCATGCGCGGCCCAGAAGACTTTCTGGAGTTTGCTGAAGAAGGATGTTCGTTTGGAAAGTGTTTTGGTGGCTCTAAATCACATCCTTGCCTAGAGATTATTTGAAATCTACAAATTACACACAGAAATTATCACATTAATCTAGAGCTAACTTACAGTCCTCTGAACAATGACATTTATTTTAAATAAAATTTTGATAAAAGGGCGATGAAAGGATGAAATGATTTTAAAATTTTTATTCAGCTCCCTTTTCATGCCACAGCACTCCTGGTGTCCAATAGAAGAAATAGTTCAAGTGTCAAGAGTGATTTGTTGGCAGGGTGGATTCGTCTTAAGATAAGCGCCGCAATATCACAAAAATGAGTGAGTCTGATAGTGACGACTGGTTCAACAAGGACCTTGAGGACTTTAAAGTGACGAGGAAAAGAGAATCAGAAGAAGGGAGTAAAGATAGAGGAGCCATCAGAGATGAAGCAACCAATGTAAGCTCGATAGTCGGGGATTCCCCGAGTTGCGCAACAGCAGAAACGCGTGGAGACGAGCTTGGAGAACTTGAAAGTAAAGAATTTCGTATTTTCAAGCATATGTCCTTATAAATCTATTTCCTATCCTGCGATTTTCTCTAGGCTACTGGAGCTTTGCAAATTGTCCTCCTGAATATTCCTGGAGAAGACCGTTCAAAGGAGGTCCAACTCATTCCCGGAAACCATTGCGAAACATGAGCGAAGAGGTCGGCAAGGCGTCAAAAAGGTACACAGGTATTTTGAGTGTATAAAATTCATACACTAATTTTTGTTTTCCTAAATTTCCAATCAAAGCGGCTCTCTCTTTGGAGCTCAAGCTGAGTTGAATCCGGAGTGCAGCTCACACACTTACAAGAGACCACGCAAGAAGGAAACGGATCGGAAAGTCAGTAAGAATCAGCTCTTTTCCATTGCAAAAATGGACTCAATTGAGGTCTTCTTGGAGATCATGTACAACCTGGATAATATGCAGGAACTTTTCCTTGATAAGAAGCTATCACATGGAACAATCGTTCTGATGATTGTCATCCTTGGGAAAATGCATGAACTTCCAATGACGAAGCATTTGGAGAGCCTTGCAGTGAGGATTTTCGGGTCTGATATTGTACTGCGCGACAATATCTTGGATTACGTGAGATTTGCAGTGGATTTGGAGGAGAAGAAGAAACCGAATTCACTGCCTTTTGCCGCTCAAGTCTGGGGCTGTTTGGAGAGTTTCTGCAGCTTTGCGAAGAGAATTGAAGGAAGTAGGAATTGTTGGGCTTATTTTACTCGCGCCATTTGCAGAATCCTTGAAGGCAAGACTGAAGGATCTCTGCAGACGAAGTACGCAATCTTCTCTAAGATCAGAGACGAAATAGAGAATAACTGGAGATTCACTGACTCCAAAGAGGCCACTATGAGTGATCTCGAGAGTGAACCAGTTCTGCAGTGTCCAGAAACGACGAATGGAAAGTTCCAAGACGTTGAAAGCTACCTGACATTCAACATTGTGTTCCTGAAAAGCCATTTCCTCACTCCTCTGTACAACGGCGTGCAAGAGTGTCGCAAACTGACGAAAGAGGAAAAGCAAGACGTCGTCCTTAAGAATATCGGAGGAACAAACGTCTTCCCTTGTGTAAGGATTCGCAAAAGTTACCCGTCGATCATGAGTCCAAATGATAAGTTCTTCATCCTAGACTTAGTGCCTCACGATCGAGTGGATTACAAATTGCCACAAGATTTGAAGGAGAAGATCAACGATGCTGATATTTTTTTAGAAGGTGGAACTTTCTTGTTCATGTCAACCACATCGAGCTTCAAAGTAAGTTTAATTGCCAATACAGATTCAATTTTTTAGAATCTCCTTAATTCTTTCAGGATGCCAAACCTGTGATTCCACTTTCAGCTCTTTACATCGTTGGCGACATTGAAGCTTACGCCAAAGAGAACGAAAAGTGGCGAATCATCAAGAACAGACTGGAAGCGAAGGAAGCGATTGGGTCTGGATTGCCGATCAAATGCGAGAAGCACGGAAGTGAGATGATCATGCGCGGCCCAGAAGACTTTCTGGAGTTTGCTGAAGAAGGATGTTCAATTGGAAAGACCCTCGGCGAATCTTGTCTGTAAAATCTGCATTTCAACGGTAAGAATGTTTTGTATTTGGCATCGGATTTACAACTCTTCGTCAGTATCTTCCGTGATCGCCTCCGCTCGCGGCCGCCGGCGTCGCCTGGGGATAGTCGTGATGCTGGTGATGATCCTCGTGTGGTGCGACTGGCGGCGTTGGAGTGATTTCGGCTCCATCAGCTGCAATTTGATTGAACTTAGTCATTAGAATTCCTCGTGATTCACTCTTATGGCACTATAATCTTTATTTGCTTTTTCTATAGTGATTCACTGCCTTCACTGAGCCGTTATTCATTTCTTAAAACACCAAGAAAGAAGGTGGAGAATCACTTCATGGACAGAGATAAAAGAGCTCTTCATATCATCGCACTTTTTCTTATGGAACTTGGATTGAAATTTGGAATGAGACAGAATTGATCTTGTACTTTTTGAAATAAATACGTTATTAATGTTGAGAATCAACCACAGAATTTGCAAGTCGCTTACATGTACTACAGCAGCAGCCCATTTTGTAGAGGATTAAGCTAAACTATTCTGATCACTGATTAACTGGTAAACTAATGAGTCTGTCTGGACTTCCTTCAGCGGCGATCAATGGATGTGAACTGATTTGCCAAACGCCAAACTCGAGCGTTTTCCCTCTCGAAATAGAAGAGCCCATGAGTAAGAAACGAGCCGAAGCTGATAAGAATATAAATCGTTGTTATCTGATTAGTGGGATCGTGAAAATGATTTGATAGACGCAGAACATGAATTGGTGTGGGGCGTAGTCTCCGCGAGGAGAGCGAAAAATTCCCCTCGATTAGATAACGCACTCTTTAGGCTATGACACAATCCTTCCATCGTGAGAGAATTGAGAGGGAAATTAGATTTTCTCCAGATTACGGCAAGCATTCTTGCTCTATCGCAAAGAAGTCTTATCAGGGGTGGTTTTAGGAGAGCAACAATGGTCGTGTTTTCTCTTCACAATTTCGGGTGTGCGTCGTCTCGGCATGTTTCTTGAGGAAGTAGAAAAAGCCTCAAGCTGATAAGATCTTCGGGGAGAAAAAAAATGTTCTGCAGAAATTCCTGACCTGACAAAGTGACGATCGTTTTAAAGGCATTAAGCTTCTAATTGTTTCTGAATTACCATGAAATTTTTCGATGAATCTGCTCAAGGGGCAAATAAATTTAACGTACACAGGCACTAAAAGCTTACTTTATTGGCTATCAATCGATTGTAGCTCAATTTGTCACTCAATTTGCTAGTGAATTCGCTTATCAATTTACTCATTGTTGACTAATTGATTGATTAATTTGATGCCCATCGATTTCTCATAATAAATCGACGCTGATTGTAATTTTAAACCTCGTTTTAAATTTAATAATACATTACATTATTGCTCCTTGAAGTCACCTCACATGGTTTATATTAGTTCTTTTTCTGTTTGAAGTGAAATTTTCACAATAGCAGCACCTTAATTTTCTCCTATCGTGAGATATTGTCCCTCAGAGGATATTGAGGAAGTGACTTTTTGTCACGTAACACAGAAAAACGCCCCTCTTTATGATTTTATGATCCCCCAAAGAGCAGTGGAATAAATGCGATCGCGGGATTGACGACGCGCCATCAGGATTCCATCTGGGACAATTAAGGGAGGGGAAGTGATAAGTAATTAGGACAGACGCCGATCCATTTTCTAAGGGGACTTCGAGCCCATGTGATGATTATTATTGGTGTGTGAGTGCTCATAACTGCATTCAGTGCCTTTCTGACCTGAGACCAGTGACTCTGTGTGGCAAAAGGGACTTTTTGGCAACTTCTTCGCCTCACTCTTGAGTCAGCTGGGCTCAGTTTTGTGCCGCCTCTCGATCCCTTCACATGCAAGAATTCCTGGCAGACCAGAAGGCATCGCTTGACTTTGTTTTTTTTATCGTTTCGAGGAGTTTGAGTGATTTTTTCGCAAACAGAGTTCACTAATTCAGAGTTTGTTTGCAAAGGAGAGTGAAAAAATGTCTCTTGTGCAGAATTTATCGCTTTTAGCGATCATTCTGATATACTTTGGTAAGTTTTTTTTCTATATTCCTTTGTACAGCCTTTCATGAAGGATTCTTTGTTGAAATGTGGTTGATTTGCCTTCCCGACATATGTTTATGTCTCTGGAACATGTTTATTTAGTCAGAAATGCGAGGGTTGGTTCTTGTGCCCTAAAAATCAAACTGTCCTCTGAAAAGCAATTAAATAACGTTTAAAAAGCATTTCCAAAACCATCGTAAATCGTTGGGAATTTCCCATGTCAGAATTTCAAGGCCTCAGTCCTGGTTTCAGTAATAAAAGGAATTTTTCCATGAACTCTTGCAAATGTTTGATAAGTTCTGCGATCAATCATTTGGTAAAATAGTGGAAATAAATACAGCAAGGGTGAATGCATCCTAAGCAAACAGTTGAATTAGAGGAATCACTTTACTGGGATTTTCAAAAGACACCACAAATCATCAATACACATTTCAACTCTGAATTCCGAGAAAGGGCATGAGAATTGTTGAGCGTCTTGTGCCTAACGTTGGGCGATTTCTTGTCTTTGCAGTTCAAAAGAGTGCGCTCGAAACGAACATTCCCACGACAACAAGCAGTGAAGATCTCGCCACTCTGACGACGGCTGATCTGGAGGATTTGTTCAAGGCTTATGACGCTCAGTATCCGCCACAGAATGTCGGGGAGATTGGCGAGGAGGAGTACCAGAATGATGGGAAGATAGTAGGAGTTTTGGAGGACATCGACAAGGTGATTGTGAGCATTGAGAAAATCCTCGGTGAATTGCAGAAGGATTTGGCTGTTGATAATGCACCCAAGCCTGGGGAGGACGTTGAGAATTATCAGTCTGTGGAGAGGAAGAAAAGGACTCTCGAGGACAAGCAGATCTATGATATCAACGAGAGAATTTACGACATCGCTGAAGAAGCGTCTCAGCAAGTGAATCTTCTCAGTGGTTTGAAAGAGAACTTGAAATCGAAGAAGCTGAGGAATTTGCAAAGGATCATTTGGCCAAGCAGAAGGAATACAGCAAAAGTTACGGAGAAGGTGTATGAAGAGCCTATGAATTCCCATGAGACTCTGATGGAACACGTTCTCGAGACCATGAGAGACAATCAACTTGAGAAGGAGAAGAAGGTTTACTTTCAATACTTTTTGCCCACTTCCACAACGACTTATCCGCCGATCAGCAAGATCAAGAACAAGATCGTGGCTCAGACTGATGACTTCTATGTGGATTATCCATCGGATCGTCACACGAGAAGCGTGGATTCGCAATTTTTCAGCAGCCTCGCATCTTATCTTATGCCTAGTATGCGATCATTTGGCCCAGAGCCAGAAAGTGGCGAAGAAATGCCCGTGAAGCGACAAATTGATGCACACAATGATCTCGAGAATGATGTTATTCCCACAATTCAGCACCAAGCGACTGATGAGGTGAATCACCCGGAGAGTGAGTCTCCTGTGGTAGAATTCATCCAGACAATCGCGGATCCGGAGACGCGACTCGAGTTGGCGAAGGAATTGGAAAGTGCTGAGCCGCAGATGGCAGCTGATCTGCAGGAATTCCTCACTGAGGAGCCGCCGAAGGATGTCACAGAAGGAGAAACTGACAAGAGAGAGATTGTCTCGACTGATGCTGCTCTTGATGTGACAACGGTTTCTGAAGAGATCTTGGTTGAAACTACAACGGAAAGTGCAGGAAATTTCTACATTTCATCTCAGGAAAATGAAATCGTATCGGAAGATAAGGAAGTTATGGTTATTCATCAGAATACCGATAAAGAGAGGTTTAAAGAAGAATATACAGAAACTCCTTATGAATTCACGACAGTTTCATATCAAGAAGGTGAGTAAAATCAACTTAAGAGTCCCTTAAATGGTGAACTTAATCCATTTTATTATTTTTTCTGACAGAAACTACTTTGAGAGTGAATATTGATGCGGAAGGACATCATGTTTTGGCTGAAAATGAATTTGAGGAGGAAATTTTGATGCCTGAAGTAACAACTCTGAATCCAGACACTGCTAATGAGGACAAGATTGATCCACGAAAACATATTGCAGAAAATGAAATTCTGGGAGAGAATTTCGCCACAGATTTCCCGAGAGTGACTGAATTTGATGCTGCTACAGAGGCTGAAATGGTGACCACTAGCAATGAATTTGAGAAGAAAGTCAAACTCTTGAAGAAGGATCTCGAGAAGGATTCTGCAAAGTCATCTTCATCGTCATCTTCAGAAGAATCTCACGAAAAAGCATCAAAATCCAGCACTTCAGAGGCTTCAGAGAGTTCTACAACGACATCATTAAATATTGAGGGAGAAACTCTGACGAAAGGTGATCTCTATGATCTCTTGAGTCATCCCATGACGCAGGGACCAACGGACTCTATCCAGGATGTCCAGGAGCTTGCGAAGAAGGAGTCAAAATCTCGATCCCTGGATATTAGCCAGAGGATGATTGTGAGTCAAAGTCCTGAGGAGATTTCAGCACTGGAAGAGGAGAACAAACCCGTAATGGACAATCACTCTGTGCGGAAGAAGCAAGGCGTTTCCAGGGAGATTCTTCCCGAAGACACCACAACTGAAGTCATTCCTGTCACTGAGGGAAGAAGCTTGAATGACGACGTGGTTGAAGACACTCTGCAGACGGTGGTGGACGCTGTGGACATCGTGATGGACACCAAGAAGACTGTGGAGGCATTTCATGACGCTGTGGAGACAACTGAGGCGCCTCTTACTACGGATAGGTCTCCTGCTCCGACGAAGAACACTCGAGATGTGGTGGGATTTGGCCTCGATGATTCTCCCCTGGGCCACGAGGAGAGTCTCCCGCTCGATCGCACACCCAGCGAGTCCTCGACAGTTGTTCTCACCACCGCACTATCGGCCATCATGGCCGTGATCCTCCTGCTGGGCTTCGTGGTGTTCTCCACGATGAGAATTCGAGTCCGCCGAGGTATTGATTTGGCGGCTGTTTAGGCTTTTTGCGCCAGCGCTCAATATTAACTCATTCGCGAGATAATCATATCAAATTACTGAGTGTAGAACGTAGAATTAAAATCGTATTACATTTCTATGTTGTTTATAACACATGAATCATCAATAAACATCACTTTGTGGGACAATTACGTGCCAGATGGACATGATCTCTTGATGGGGGATTTTTTCTTTGCTCATTTCAAGAGCAAGAATTCTCAAATTTCTGCTTTTTCAGTCACTTCTACCAAAAATTCCACAAAGGAAGAGTTATTTTCCTAGCACGACAATGGACTCGGGTGAAAAAATGCACTCTTGTTTATCCATCATCGTGCATCTCACGCAGATACGGTAGCAGCAGCAACAATTACCATCTTTGTTTGTCGATCATAATGTTTAAGTTTATTATTAAATGGATTTCTGTTTGCTGAACATCTTAGCATTCTGCGGTGGAACTAATATTTAGTCCAGTGCTTGTAGTGTAAATTAAATGAAATTATATTTACCATCTTGGCTCCAACACTTCACCGAGATAAAATTCAACTCTTGCTTTTCCCTAAATGAAAAAAAAACCGAGCCACTGTTTTGAGGAAAACTCTCGCCTTCACTCTGTCTGGAGGAATATGACCTCGTTTCCTTTCTCTGCTGAGCATTTCAGCTCCAGACG